CGTTGTAAACTAATCAGTCTGCAGTATAATGCTATAATGATTCGGTTACCGTTGGATGCCGACTTTCGAAAGAACTTCCTTCCGGCTGCATGCAAAAAATATGCTGTGTAAAAAATGACTACTTAAGTGGCATGCATTTTTCTCACTGATTTTTGATGCCTCTAAAGGTCTAATTATAATTCTTAGAAAACATTCACAGAAATATTCATTCTTTCGCTCATTCTGTAGGAGGGATATAATTCGGTTTTAAAAGAGTTTCTAATTGTGAGACTTTTTAATACCGTGAAATGGTCGTTCATAAAACGTCATGTCTCTGCATTTATCAATAAGGCTTCAAAAGTTAAAGCTATGGATGCAATCCAACGCTAAATTTTATGAAGCCCATATGGTCTCCTTTTAATACTGTACAGAAATGTGTGGTTTGCCGTACGCGGAATATACATGGTTTGTAATTTGGAAACCCTGAATGTAAGCGTGACGGCAGATCGGGTTCAAAATTATTCGGGAATTGGAAAAATATTTTAAAACAGAATTATTTCCGTCCTTCGAATAGTAAATTGAAAGACGTATTTTTCTACCGAATGAACGGAAAAATCAATATTTTTATGCATGTTTTCCATGAAATATAATTAGACCTTTAGAGTTATCGAAAATCAATCAGAAAAGTGTATGCTACTTATGTTATCATTTTTTACGGAGTATGGTTTGTGCATGCAGCCGGAAGGAATTTCTTTTGAAAGCCGGCTTCCTAAGGTAACCAAATCATTATAGAATCATACTGCAGAATAACTAGTTTTACAACCCTATTTAATTAATCTTTCCTATCCGAAAACGCATTTCAGAATTTCAGTTGACATTTCATGAGTTAGCCCACCTACTTTATGTTTAGAATACTTTGGGTGCAGTTGAAAGATTAGGTGCACCATGACGCGCTGGCTGAGTGGTTAATATTTAGATAATGTACGTAAAGTGTGTTTAAACCCAAACCTCTTCCAAGCAGGAGCTATGGTATGTTTGACTAAGACAGCAAGCTTTTGAGAAATGAACTTGCCTTTTCAGGTAATACTTCAGGCTTGATAATTGCCCCTGCCTATGTGACTGCCAGAAACTGCTTTTTAAAAGCAATTAAGATGAAAGGAGGATTTCAAAATATCAAGCAAATGGATGCCTGTAATCAAACTCTGAATCCACTAGGGAAGCTGAAGCACCAAGTCAGCCATTGGTTTAGGGGATTTCCAGTATGAAGTCAGTACTTGAGCTGTAAAGCTGCATGGGCGCTGTCATTCAAAAGCGCACGTTTTTCAAACTCGACTTCTTCAACTTCGCCAAATAACTTATGATATCCATCGTCTTTGTAAATTGTCCTGTTACATTCGTCCTGCTGGCAGATTTCCGCGTACGATTGCAAAATTAATAGTTTTGAGCCTCTCGGTTCTGACGAGCAAAACGCCTTTTAGCCAGATGGTTCTTTATGCAGAGGGAGATGCGAGAAATTCCTTAATCCGCTTGTTAACTTTAAACAAAGATTGACCACATCGGAATTATCACAGTTTACTTGTTTACTCCTCAAACGTATGGCCACTATTGATTATCAGAGTGTAGAGGAAACTGACATTAACTACCGACAACGACAGTTCGACCGTCCACTTCGACAATGCCCACCGTGTGCCCCACAGTAGGCCGAGAGCCGGGATGGCGACTCGCGCGCAGATTAGTTTATAGAGATAGCAGACTTGTAGAGCATCTATTGCACTCTATACTCCTCTCCCACATGCACCCGGTGTTAAGACAGGTCCAAGAAGACCGAAGGCAGGAGAGGACGTAGTGGGCTGGCACGGCGTTAACCCGTACCCGTGCGCACCACCACACAAGGCACACTGTCTAGGATTTTACACTACACGAAGAAAAAAAGGAGAGGGGCGGGCTCGGATCGCACTTAACGCGGCGTGAACCGACAACTGGGCTCGCCGCCACACCCTTATTTTGACATTTGCTATGGATGCATATTCCAGATGACGCCTGCCGAACTCCCATCGGCTAGATCGCAGTTAGTAGCCAGGAATGGGGAAGCGGACGGCGACCTTAACCCTAATCCTAACTTTAACCTTAAACGTTACCCCTTAACCCTAACCGAAATCGTAAACGTAGCCCTTAGATATAATCCTTACTGTAAAACCAAACCGTAATACTCAAACCGAATCGTAACCCCAGACTCTAACCGTAACCCGAAAACTGGATCCTAAAAGGCATAACCCTAACCCGAAAATCGGGCACCATTAACCGGTACCCTAATCCGAATCTCAAACGTAAAACGGAAGCCAAATGGATCAGATGTGATTATGCAGACCCACAAAAAACCCTAGTAAACAAACACCAGTCACTTGTATTACGGGACCTGGCTACCAACCACGATCTAGCCCCCCCATCTAGGCCCTGTGCTGGTCCAGTGCATCTACCAAGTGGCCCGCCTGCGTTGGTTCGAATCCCGCCGAGGCGACGAGTTTTCACAGTTGGGACAATATGAATTATTCAAAATCTGCCAAAATATCTATGAAGTACATGAGCCTGGTAGTCATCTGGTGGATTTTAAATGAATTACTTAGGAAATCCTGCTGGGGCCATCAACTTAATGTATCAGATTTGGTGGATTACAGACGTTGCAGTAGGTTGGGCGGGTAACTTGACCCAAATGTGACTAAACTCGCATCGTACGATGGGACCTCGTAGCTCAAATGGTTAGAGCGTTGGCTGTACTAAAGCCTTCCCTTTGCCGTCGTGGGTTTGAATCCCACCGAGGCGCCGACTTTTTCACAGTTGAGTCAATATGAATTATCCAAAATCTGCCAAAACATCTATGAAGGAAAACCACGGACCAATGCCATCAACTCTAAAAATTGTTTTTTTAAAACGTTAGGAAGGGCCTTTACGACCCACCCTGCACGCGTCCGATAGATGTGCTTCAGCGACGGATACTCGCAGAAAGTTAAAACTTCTCGTTAACCATTTTGCATCAAAGACTTGCTAATGATAACCGCTGGTTTTTTGAGAAAGAGGGGGATAGGCGTTATTTTAAAAGCACCATTCTATAATTTTCAACAAAAAGCCCTCTATTCGCATGGCCAAGGTATAAATTAGAAGATGATGAGAAAGTTAATGTGTTTGCGTAAAAACTGTACAATTAGTATAGGGACAGTTTGAGTCGCAGTTTCTGTATTTCGGTCCCTTTACACGTTAGGTAGCTTGCCACAGATGGTAATATTGAACACTGGTATGCCGATGTAACGCAAGAGATACGCTGGAAGCTACTTCGCGTGGGACAAAAGTACTTAGTAACCATTACTTCGGAGCAAAGTGGATGGTCGACCTCAACCAGAATTCGAGTAGCGGATTTTCCGACCGTTCTGAAATGTGGTTATATTAAGGTATCAAGTAAAGCGACATAAGAAACATCGGAAGCGGAAGAGAGCATTTGGAGGACACGTTGTAAGACGAACATATCTTTTTTTTAACTAAGGCGAGAAAAACAACCGGAAAACAACAAAGAATGAGAGGGGAAGTGCAAGTATTTAAAAATCTCCAGATTAGGTGTAGAGATGTGTGATAGGAACATAAACCATGGAACTAATAAACAGGTATATGTATTTTAGTGTAAAGGGTTATAGTATGAAGGGAGTATGAGAGATTGGAGCCCAAAGTAGCATAAATGAACTGGAAAGGTGTTATGTTATTGGGAAGAATGTCAAAGTACTCAGAAATTGGAGAGGGTTGCAGCCTAAAAACACACATAGAAATCATTTTTGCTCGAGTCTCGATCCCGAGAAGAAATACAGGTGAGAATCATAGTTCTGTGGCTGTCATTCTCATAAAAGAAATAATACTTGCATATCGAAAGTTTGTCTTGTCAACTTCTATCACACAAAACAACGTTACGGTGGAGTCTTATTTCGTAGCCTACAGTGGACAAGCCCCAGCCGTCTGTCATACGGGACCGGTGGTAATAGGGGGTTTAACACTAACCCTCTAACCCTAACCATAACCCCCAGCTCCTGGCCCTAAAGCCTAACAGGTGCGGCTACGAAATAAGATCTTGCCAATTTTACTTTTGCCAGAAGTGTCCTTACGAGCGTATTAAGGGCTCAATCTAGAGTTCGGCCAGCAATCGCGCATCGACTAGTAGTATGTGCGAAATGAGAGTAGCGACTTTAATCTAATACCGATGAGAAATTTGAATGGAAATGGTAATCCCGTGTTACCTAGTTTCGGCCCTAAAGTACGGAAATTCACGAAGATTCAGGGAAGGAGATGACCCAGAACTCCTGACCATAGCCAAAATTTGAAGATAGAGGGAAGTACCACTATGGTTACTGCCGCCATGTCAGCCACCTGTCCTGTTACAGTAATGTTGCGTGTCACTGTCTGCGAAGTAAACAGTAGGAACTCTCCTTCGAAAGTTGGAAATCGTACTCCTCTTTCATGCGGTGACCAATGACAGTTTGGTCGGATACGGAATATAGGTCACCCGTACTATCAGAAGCTTTGCGCGAAGTTCTAAGAAGGGTGCTTGACCCCATGGTTTAGCTTTGACGCACGGGTAGACACTTGCTCTAAGACCCGTTAAAAGTATTCTTATTCAGCAAGCTTGTCCTCCAGTGCACTGCAATGCGTCTCAACACGCCGACATTGGGCCTTTACGCAACCGCGTTCGTGTCTGATCGAGTGGTCAGTGTTGAGGTTTAATAGCTCGGTTTTATATGCCGCTCTTCACAACTCTCGTTTTTGGAGCTGATGAGGAAAGGCTGGCTGATTGTTTCTTCCCACTTAATAGTAAATGTTGGTGTAGGGGTGTCTAATTGTGGTTTCACGTAATGGTCGTAGTAGATCGCTCACTCGCTTGCAACCGTTGACTACCCCCAGCGTCCATTAACTGGCACCTAACACACACACATGCCTCATCGAAGCTGGCGGCCACAGGCCTGTAACCGCCTCGAGCGGCGGTGGTTATGCACGAACTGCCACCCAACACTGCCTACCTCGCACACGAAATCAACGTGAACGTCGCTCAACTGCAAGCCGTGGGCAGCACCCTCTCTCGCAGCATCAAAATCGACTTTGCAGTGACCCGCCGGATTTTCAAGGCCAGCCAAGCCTTCAGCAGTATGCAGAACACCGTCTGGACTCGTCACGTTCTCGACCTCAGCACCAAACGCAAGATGTACAACGCAGTCATCCTGCCGACGCTGGAATTTCCTTTGCATGCCAATTCCTGATCGCCTTTGAAAACGGCGAAGATAGCATCTGCTTACCGGTCGTAAAATTTCACTCACTGGTTCCAAGTGGTGTAGGAACCCCTCGGCTATGAGTCCGGGAATGGATGAGCCCACTGACGTGCCATTCACCTGCTTGTGGATTGCATCGCCGAGTGCTAAGGAAGCTTTAAGACAGCAACTTCATAAGTTGGATGATTCGAGGGTGCCTGCAGAAATTCTCCCTTTGAGAAATTGGGTGATTTCAATTGCCTAATCCTGCAGAATAGAAGTGAGGGCAAGCGGGACATCAGAACACACCGCGACTTCGTTCGGTATGAGATTTACACCATCTAATTGTTCTAACACTCGTATGGACAAACGGACTATGGTGGCTAAATAAGCAGCTTGAGATTTGAGACGCTGAAGAAACCACTTTCTCACTCCATAATTTGAGTGATTCGATAGGCTGGAGGAGTGCATTCTCCTTGTGAAAAAAGTAAGACCATGGGGTCGGGTTAGCGCTGTCTCTGTGGCCCTCCTAATGCCTCGACTAATCGGTGATATCTCGGCTGACTTCCTCACTGCCAACAATGTCACATCAATTTCGAGTGTTAACCCTTTATCGTAATTGAATATGCAAGCCGCTGTCCTGTCCATTATGACGATGGGGAGCCCCTTGCCTACGGCACTAATGTCGATGTCTTTGTCGGCCTGGTGTTCCGTCAGTTCACCTCGTTTGACGCTGAGATAAGCCTTGTGCGATGTAGGAGACGGGAAAGGCGACAGTGCTTGATTTTGAATAGGGTCCACCACTTCATCCTTCTCTGCGCTCTGGCTGAGGACTGGATTCATCACTGTGATCGAATTCAGGGCTTACCAATTTTAAATGAGGCTTCATACCATAGAACCTGCCTTTGTTCCTCCCTCGGCTGATTTTTCGACAAACTATCTGCCCAGATTGTTTTTTCCAAATGAAGTTGAACTAGACAGCTTAGGGAACTCTACTTACGCATCTGCTGCAGTATACGTCCCTATCCATCTCCCATTTAGAGACTTTTACCACACTTCTGCTCAATTTCATGATCTCATGGGACACACTAATTCTAGTTAACTGCCGTCTCGCCTCCGACACGCCACGTACTGAAGACTGGCTTGTTACCGTATACTGCCCCCAAAAATCCATCATTCGCACAAGTCATCTGAATAGTATTGGTGGGTAAATCTGCATCTGACATCTACGTAAATCAGTCAAAGATATCACGGTGAGGTTTGGTTCTGCATACCCACTTGGTTAATACCATATGGTTAGCTTACTAAAACAATATTAAATAACATACCTAACTTAGCCACTCGCAGGGTTAGGAAGGGGAAGAGAGCGCTAGCAGAGCTCGAAACACGCGCAGAGAAGCGAGTGAAGGTGGTTGTTTACACGCTCTCCTCCGACACAGCCAATCGCTGGATTAAGAGGATACGGCGGACGCAATCACACTTGGATGGCCACGGGGGAATCCCGTGGTAATTTTCAATGCATGGCCACTGTAGTGGAACCGACGAAAATTCCACACCGTCTGAACAATTCCATTAGCAAGTCTACTTGACCGCTCGCTAGATTACGATAATAAGGAGGGTGCAAGCAGGGTTCGAAACACGCACAGGGAAGGGCTGGCGTATAAGCACTCCTCCTCCCCGTGGCAAAGTCACTCGTTGAATTATAGTGGTAAGGAAGATGCAAATACGTGATATTTGTAAAGTCGGTGTATTCGCATCTACTAATTTTTTTTAGAAAATAATGCATATGGTATCAATCAAGTGGAGAAACAGGACCAAAGCCCTCCGATATCACGACTTTGATCGGTGGGAGAATTAGGCCTGTGGTGGTTGAATAAGTACCCTGAGATTTGAGACGCAAAAACAACCATTTAATCACTCATTAAGTTGAGTGATTCCATAGGCCGGAGGGAAGCGCTCCCTTGGCGGATATAAGGGAGACCATAATTCCGGCTAATGCTGTTTCTTCGGTTCTCGCCCTGTCAGATGATGTTGAACCAGACAGCTTACGGAACACCCTCTGCAGTTCACTTACCTATCCAACTCTCATTTATAAACTTTTTACATGCCGCTAAATCTAGTAATTCACGCCACATGTTCTGTATATTATTAATAATTCTAATTAATTGTTATCTTGCCCCCGAAACGCCACCTAACGAAGACTGGTTTGTTCTCATGTACTGCCCCGAAAATTCCTCTTTTGTACAAGTCCTATTGATGGGTAGTTCCGAATCTGGCATCTGTACAAATCGACCATAAATAAAAGCAAGATATTGTTGATAATCTACACTCGCTCCGGTAAACGTGAACAAGCGATCAGTGATTCTTCGGCTTGTGGCGGCGAACTATATTTGAAGCTTGAACTCAATTCGCATGCTCTAGTCACTTTGTGGCCAACCGCCCCCCCCCCTTCCCCTACGTGCCAGCCACCGCTGTGGCTGCGTGGAATGCAACCGCAATTGCCACCTCAATGCCAATCAATAGCTCATCCGTCGCTTATTGGCTGGTATGACTGTCGCTCCTCCCCCCTCCCACCACCTACCCCCCACTGATCATCAAGGCACTCATTTGTGAACACTTTGGCTCCGCCTGCATTTTGGCCGCGTTGCGCATTCTGCTGCTGTCTCCCTGGCTCTCGGTTCAAGAATCCCCTGACTGTCGCCCGTGCTATTCGACCGACCTACCACACCCACACAACAATTGTAGCGGAGAGCCTTCAAATGGGAACGTTCGGATGCAACCGCTATGGAAAAACGCCAACAAGACACGGCGATGTATACAAGCATATCCGGCTGCGATAAACAAAGGCGGAAGTTTTATACTTGTTCAGTGCTCTGCCTATCTTGTAATTGCTTCCTACAAACATCTGCGAGTGGGCATAAACCGAAGCGCACGCACACACGTATCTCACAGGGTCGCCAAGTGGATTCAAAGCAAACTGCGACCAGCGCCTCCTAGTCGGTAAAGAGTAGATTGATTGTTCGTGCTGACGATGACTTGTCCGTCTCCCTGGCCCATTGGGTGCGTCCTTCACGGAAATTTGGTTGTACGATAATCCCCATTCGTCTAATGTACCCCCCAACTTCCGTGCTTATAGGCGGAATTCACGTGTTCAGATCAATTGATACCATATGGCGAACTTCAAAAAGCACATCACGCACTAAATCCTCGTTTTTTTTTATTGTTCTTAACTACCAACGATATTTCCTGCGCATGTCAGTAGCACGTTAGAGAACGACCGACAAATACGGCGGGTACTGAGACAGAAGGCGTTTTTGGGTTACCTCGCAAGCATTGCTGTCGTTCTTTCAGGTTACATGTTCTGCCTAAAAATTTGTGTGATTCCTTCTATCTCCCGGCATTCTGATTAGTACTACCGGCATCCATGTTCGGGGTTAATATATTCAGTGCGTTCTTTTTTACAGGAATGAAAGAAAGCGATAGTCCGGCAAAATGGAAATCGTCATTTCGAAACATTCTTCGGATTGCTTAGTAAAGGAAATGAATAACTGAATGTCGCGTACTTGCAAGAAATTGCATATAAAGCCAAATATTTATATCGCAGTATAGAACTGTTCTACATGGAGGACAGAAGCAGTTATCGAGAGATTGAGATTAGTCACCCCAGTTTACGGGTTTCGTACAGGCCAAGAACACAAACCCAACATCACCACATTCTATGCATACTTTAACTCGCGGGATCGAATTTTTTAGCACAAACTTGTGCGTACATAAAAAGGTGGTTTTGTTGTACTGTTTTGCTTTTTTGTTTTGTTCAATGTTTTTTTGTTTTTCCTTTTTTTGCTATGTCGAGCCAGTTGTGTGAAATCGCAGCGGGATCATACTGTTATTCCTGTTTTCTTCAGACACCGCAGACGTCGGACGCGCAACAACCGTCTGATTGGTGCGCACGATCACCAGCCAATCACGTCCCTACAGCGATTTAGGCCCGCCAAAGCCCGTTTGCACTAACGGTCAAGCTCTGTCATGTTACTCATGGGCCCATTTAGCGCGGAGGAATTTTGTTTTGCCGCACCCAACTCCCTGCCCACCCTACGTGTGTGGCTCTGCAAAGACTATGCAAATAAGCTAAGTGAACTTTTGGACAAATCAACACTGGGCATAACAGGAATCTCCCGCTTATCGGCCACGACGATTATCTTTTGACAGCCGGAGTAGGTCACACACTCTGCCATCTGAGACGCTTTATGCGAAAGAAGCCAAAGTAATGAGAGACCTAATCACGCATGCATTGGGTTTCGGTGGTAGCAGTCACAAGCACGAGGTTGCGGGACCAAATACCAAATGAACATTTATATCGCAACCCTTGTATTCCTCGTGCCTGCTGAGGCAGATGAACGCTCACCGGATTCCTGCAGCATAGCAAATTTCGCTTGTATCATATCGGCCCGGAAATTCTAGCCAGATCTTCTCTCTGTAGTAACTTATGATGAAGGAAGGCACACTATCCTACTGGTGCCCTAATATTGTATTAGCATGCTAAAATACCGATAATACACAAAGCTTTCAGAACGCTTTGTTTAAATTAGCCGGCATCGATGATCGACCAAGTAATGGAAAATTTAACGTTGGTTCAATTGGCATTATTGAATTAATTCTGATAAATATGCGTAACCGCCGAAACCAACAGAGTTTAACTAAAATCTCTACTTGTCCTCTGAAAAGGAAAGAAATACTTGAAAGAGTTTTCAATACTAGAGAGCGTAGAAAGCAATCAGACATTCGTTCAAGTGTTGTAGCCTGATGAGTTTTTTTCTGGCCATTAACACAGGACAGGAAAATTTATCATTGATTCATTTGGCATCACAAAATTTATTCTTATAAATATGCGTATTCACCAAAACTAGCAGAGTTTAGCCAAAATCTTTAAAGGGAAAAGAGGAGCACTGCTCTGTGACATTGCGTTGTTGCTTACTCTTGGTCATTGGCAAAGTCCCTATTCTCTACTATCC